TACAACCCATTTCTTAAATATTATTAGATATAAACATTGTTATATATAATTAGATATATAATTATATATAATTATCTAATTATATAAATATTGTTAGATATATATAATTATTTAATTATATAAATATATAATAGTTATTATAAATATTGTTAATAACTAGATATCGAATTATTCAGTTCGAACGATCGGACCATTTGATTTGGTAACTGGACCCCTGATCGGTTCAGTCTCCGGGTTGGTTTTAAAAATCATGATGTTATGTCATTCGAGCATGTGACTCATACGACCCAAAAATAGAACCGTTCTGGCCACTGGTTTTCAGGTTGATAGTTCAACCATCTGGTTCGAATGGATGGCCCGTTCTAACAACAAAAATTAAAAATAAAAAAAATGGCCAAAAACCATCAAACGGGTCAATGGATCGTTGGCCGATTCAACGATTTTTGGCTAGGGGCCGAGATTAGGGTAAAACGGAACTGGTTGTCTGGACGGTTTCCAATTAAAAATATAAAAAAATGGATGACCCATTCTGACAACAAAAATTACAAGCAAAAAATTGAGTGTGTGAGGTCCATTAAGCAGTAACATACACGTTATGTCATTCGAGCATGTGACTCATACGACCTGAAAATGGAACCATTCTGGTCACCGGTTTTTGGGTCGACGGTTCGACTGTTCAGTTCGAACGGATGGCCCTTTCTGACAACAAAAATAAATAAATAAATTACCAAAAACCATTGAACATGTCAATGGTTCGATTGACCGGGTCAATGGGTCGTTGACCGATTCAACAATTTTTTTCCAGGGACCGAGATTAGGATAAAAGGTTACTTGGATGGTTCCCAATTAAAAAAATAAAAAAAATAGCCAAAAACCATTGAACGGGTCAACGGGGTGATGGTTTGACCACTCGAGTCAGTGGATCATTGACCGATTCAACGGTTTTTGGCCAGGGACCAGGTCAACAAGTCAACGGGTCGACAATTCCATTCCCCTGCAAAGTAGGGTCCCTCCACTAGTATATATCTATTAAAGGGATAGGGGTGGTCTCCCCTTTCGCCAAATGGCGGCCCTTTAATATATATATATATATATATATATATATATATATATATTTGCCACCGAATTCGGGTTAACGGTTCAACCGTCTGGTTCAAACGAATGGCTCATTCTAACAACAAAATTTACAAGCAAAAAATTATAGAATCATTCTGGCCATCAGTTTTTGGGTCGACGGTTCGACCGGACGACCCATTTTAACAACAAAAATTACAAGAAAAAATTGAGTGTGTGAGGTCTATTAAGCAATATCGTATGTATTGTGTCATTCGAGTGTGTGTGACTCATATGACCCAAAAACGGAACCATTCTAGCCATCGGTTTTTGAGTCGATGGTTCGACCGTCCAGTACGAACGGATGGACGACCCATTATGACAACAAAAATTAAAAAAATAAAATAAAATAAATGGCCAAAAACCATTGAATGGGTTGATGGTTCGACTACTCAACTCAATGAGTCATTGACCGATTCAATAGTTTTTTGCCAGGAACCGATATTGGGGTAAAACGGTTCCCAATTAAAAAAATAAAAAAAAATGGTCAAAAACCATTGAGCAGGTCAATGGGTTGACAGTTCAACCGCCCGGGTCAATGGGTCATTGATCGATTCAACGGTTTTTGGCCAGGGACCAGAATTGGGGTAAAACGGGACTGGTTGCCTAGACGGTTCCCAGGCCAAAATGTCCGTCCATCTGGGTCAATGGCGATTTGAAAACCATGATTTTTTGTGCTTTTGGATTTTCACTATTCAAAGTTTTCTTATACTGTTGGCTTTATTTGAGCGTGTGCAATATGTTCCTTTTTTTTCATTTTTTGCTTTTATTTTTTGTGTTCGGTCTTCTTCTTCAAGATCCTCCAAAATGGTCTAGGGTTTATCACAATTTTATTTCTTCCCTTTTGTTTTTTCTTTGGGTTTTCTTGTGCGATGTTTTTTTTATTTTCTTATAAGACAATATGCTTTGTCTCTTTCTTTTATTGCATGTATGTTTTGCTTCGTCTCAAAGCAGAACTTTAGACTCGATTCTCTGATTTTTTTTTTCCTTGGTTTTTCCAGTTTGGTGGATTTACCACCATTTATCTTTCAAGGTTTTGGAATCCCTTGCAATGTCCAGCCTTCCCATGACTATGACTACAAAGTTATTTCGTCTAATTATTGACATCTAGAAAAAATGACCCGGAAACATAACTGTTCTGGCCACCGGTTTCCAGGTTGATAGTTTGACCGTCTGATTCGAATGGATGGCCCATTCTAACAACAAAAGTTAAAAAATAAAAAATGGCCAAAACCGTTGAACAGGTTGATCGCCTGGTCAACGAGTCGTTGACTGATTCAACGACTTTTTACCAAGGACTAGGTTTGGGGTAAAACAGAACTGGTTGCCTAAACAGTTCTTGGGCCAAATGGTCCTACTGTTCGGGTCAACTAGGAGTTCTCAATGTGAAATAATGGATAGCTATGAAGTAAAACTTAGAACTATCAATGTATGATTGTATTCCTTTATATGAAATGCTTTGCTGAAACAATATTTAACAAATAAGCACATGATGATCTCTTTTAAGTCTTTATATGATTTTCAAGACTTGGGTAAAAAACCATTGTCATTTTTAATATAGCAAATAGCAATGTTGCAATTCTAGCCCCTACGAAGCAGGGGCCCTCTGCTAGTTTTAATTACTATGAATTAGTATAAAAAGGTAAAGATACTAAATTGTAAAATTAAAATGCCAAGGATAGATAAGATATTAAATTATTAACATATATCATTATGATTAAATTTTCATGACCTACGAATAAACAAGATAAATATTGACATTATATAGTATACATATAGATTCTTTATTATTATTATTATTATTATTATTATTATTATTATTATTGTTGCTGTTGTTGTTGTTATTTATTATTATTATTATTTTTTTATTGTTGTTGTTGTTGTTGTTATTATTATTATTATTTTTTTTTTTATTGTTGTTGTTGTTGTTATTATTATTATTATTATTATTATTATTATTATTATTATTATTATTATTATTATTGATGGTGTGTAATCTGGTAGCTCCCTACTCGAGGACAGCTCGGATGCCAGATTAGGTAGGTCGCCTTGTTGAGCTACAAGAAAAGTTGATTAGAGTGTCCATTGTCTAGGTTGCTAGACCCGGGGTGGGAACTCCAATGCTTAAGTTAGCGAACTGATAATTGTTTGCAAAAAAGCAAAAAAGATAGAACACTTTGAGAGCTAAACCGCAAGTACCTTTCTAGTGAATGGGGAT